GGGACATCCAGGGTCACCCCAGTATATCCAGGCCACTGCCCAAGGTCACACCAATAACATGGACAACAGCGCCAGGCCTAGAGCACTGGCTCAGAGGACACATTTGGCAGCAGCCAGCCTCTGTCCTTCACGTGGGGCCCGCCACCCACAGGCTCACCTGCAGCAGAGCATTTCTGCGTTCAGTGAGGTGACCAGATGAGTCACTGTGTGTGTGTCATTTAATCAGGCGGAACTGGCCGTGACCGAAGCTGAGAGTGAAGGGCGGGGCAGGCTAGCCACACGCGCTCAGTCTCCCGGCGCTGACCCTGGTCCTGGGAGCATTTTGTGATGGTGCCAGGAGTGGGGGGTTAGAACTGGGGGCGTTTCCTCTAACAACATCTTATGACACAACAGATTGCTCACAGGCTGGCCCCACCCCACTCAGAGAGCAGCTGTAGCTTCTTTCACCAATTCTTTTTTTTTTTTAAAGGCAGCTCTCCTTCCTCCCAGTGTGTGGTAGGTTAATCACTCAGTCTGACTCTTTGCCACCCCCTGGACTATAGCCCTTCAGGCTCTTCTGTCCATGGATTTTCCAGGCAAGAATACTGGAGTGGGTTGCCATTGCCTTCTCCAGGGGATCTTTCCATCCCAGGGATTGAACCCGAGTCTCCTGTTTCTCCTGCATTGCAGGCGGATTCTTTACTGCTGAGCCATCAGGAAAGCTCCAGTGCTTCTTCCCATTTCTACAGCTTTCCAGAACTCTTGCTGCTCTCAGATTTCATGTCCCTACTTTGGAGGCTTGGGGACCTTTCCCCGGTGCCCCACTTTCTAGTTCTTCTGCCACATCTGAGTCGTTCATCCCCACCTACCCTGTGAGTCCCATTTGCTTTCTTGTCCCTGAATAAGCAGATGGACTTTAAAACTTGAGATATAATTTGCGTACCATACAGTTCACCCATTTAAAGTGTCCAATTAAGTGGCTTGGGGCCTATTACATTAATTTTTTTTCAGTTGTGGCACTCAGTCTCAGTTCAGTCGCTCAGTCATGTCCGACTCTTTGCAACCCCATGAAACCACAGCACGCCAGGCCTCCCTGTCCATCACCAACTCCCGGAGTTTACCCAAACCCATGTCCATTGAGTCGGTGATGCCATCCAACCATCTCATCCCCTGTCGTTCCCTTCTCCTCCTGCCCTCAATCTTTCCCAGCATCAGGGTCTTTTCCAATGAGTCAGTTCTTCGTATCAGGTGGCCAGAGTATTGGAGTTTCAGCTTCAGCATCAGTCCTTCCAATGAATATTCAGGACTGATTTCCTTTGGTTGACTGGTTGGATCTCCTTGCAATCCAAAGGACTCTAAAGAGTCCTCTCCAACCCACAGTTCAAAAGCATCAATTCTTCGGCGCTCAGCTTTCTTTAAATTGGAGGCCACGTGATGCATCGGGAGGAGCACGCTGATCTGGTGGCATTGGCACCCCTGTCCCTCCACCCAAGTGAAGGGCTAGTTAAAGGCTGTCGGCCATTTATTTCTGGTTGGGTGGAAAGGGAGTGGGAACAGCACAGTGAACAGTTCACACCCTCATGCCGCTGTCACCGACTCGGCCCTGGTGGAGCGCGAAGGAGGACTCTCAGTTGCCTTACATTCTTAGTCCTCATGGGTAGGAGGAGCTGTGTAGCTGGTGATGAAGAGGGAGTGCAGGCTCTGGACAACACAACAGCAAAAAAAAAAAAAAAAAAAAAAAACAGTGACCGAATTTAAAAGTGGGCTAAGGATTTGGACAGAGTTTACTTAAAAGAAGATGTTCCAGCAGCCATATGAAAAGTGCTCGGCCTCACTCATAATCAGGGAAATGCAAAGCAAAACCATGGTGTAGGGCACTGAGGTTACTTCCACCTTTCGGCTATGGTGAATACTACAGCAGTGAACATTAGCATACAAGTGTCTATTTTGGCTTTCAATTCCGTTTTGTACTTACCTAGACCAGAATCACTGGGTTATACAGTAACTGTTTACCTCAAACTGTGTTTGAGCAACAAGCATGTGGGCCTTTTGCATTTCAGCTGTTATAAGTAGAAAGTGTAGTTCTTTATCCCCTGCAGTAGGAAATGGCAACCCACTCCAGTATTCTCGACAGGATAATCCCACGGACAGAGGAGCCTGGCGGGTTACAGTCCACTGGGGTCAAAGAGTCGGACATAACTGAGCGACTGAGCACACATGTGCATAGTTTTTCTTAATTAAGATATATCCAGTTTATCAAAGTTAGAATGAAGAGCTATAAGTATACACAATCAATTCATTCCTTGCCTTCTTCCGAGTTCTTAATTATCATCCGCACAGCTCACTTGACAGTTCATCATGGAAGTCTGTATGACATCCTTTCTCTTTAACTGATTATTTTAAAACTTTTAGTGTGTAACTTGTCATGTTTTTATACAATCCTTCACTGAGATTTTAATCATTATACAATCCTTCACTGAGATTTAGTCGTCTCCTAGGGCGGAGACACGTATTATACAGAAATTCCCTGTAGCACCTACTATAGATATCCAAGGTGTCTAACTGATGGGTTTTAACTTCTTTCCTATCAGCTTCTGGTTTATTCCTAGACTAGAAACTTCTCCAGCAAGTCTGTACCTTCATAGAACTCATTTTGCCTAGAGATACTTTTTCCTGCAAATCTGTTTTCACATGTTAAATGAGGTAACACTAATAATAGAAGCTAGTTTTCATAGAATACTTACTCTGTGTTGTATACCATTCAAAATACTTTGTGTATTTTCTCATTTGAGTCTCAGAAAAAGCCTGTGATGTAAGTACTATTATTATCTACACCTTACTGATAAGGAGATTGAATCGCTTGGAGGTTGAACAGTCACCCAAGGCCACCAGCACTTGCTGAAGTTAGACGTCTGTCTGCCGGGCCTGTGTCCTTACCCACCAACACAGAGAGGGACGTTTCCACCCTGATCCAGAGGAGACAGAAGCTAAGCCCCAAGAGGAATTATCCAGCCCAGATGTCAGCAGTGCAGGCATTGGGGAGCAAGGCATCAGGCCTCCTGTGAACTCACTCCCAGCCCCTCAGCCTTTTAGCCCTGGGTTCCAGTTTCTCATTTCTCCACTGCCCTCAGGTGGGGCAGAGATCAATCTTGGAATCTGGCTGTCACTGGCTGTGTGACCTTGGGCAAGACACCTGGGTTGGGAGGTGGCAGTATTGTGGCTCCATTAGGCGCTCTATAAATACCGGCTTCTTAGCCAAGTGGTTGGACATTGACCATCTTACTTAGACAATCGATATTTCTTAAAAATAGATGATCAATATACCAAAATAGGTACGATCCATTTTTACACCTTTCACAATAAGCAACCAATTCCATATCTGTCATCCCACCAGCCTCTCACTGAGCTGGGAGGCAGACAGAATTGGTTCCCAAAGTGACAAACGTAAATATCTCAGGAAAAAAGAAATGTGCTGGCCCAGAGCCAGGCAAAGCCTGTTCTTCCCCATCAGTGTGTGAAGTCTCCGTTCTAGAATGAAGACCAGGGGTCCAGAGCAGCGCCCTCACAGGCGTCTTTTACCCCCACCCCACCCTCGGCCCGGCAGTGGAGAAGCTGCAGGAGGGTTGGGACTTCCTGAGATGGGGACTTGGGGGTCTTGGGTGGCCTGCCCGACAAAGCCATCAGCCACCCCATCCCCAGAGCGGAGAGGTAGCTGAGGCTGTGAGGTCCAGCTCCGATTCCTCAGCTGTGTGTGGGATTAGTGTGGTCAGCGCCTCACTCTCCCATCCCTCTCACTGCATCCCAGCCCCTCTTGGATGCCTTATCCTCTCTTGCCTAAATTGGCAGGGTCTCCCAGGCCCCGAGCCTAATAAAGCTTATGCTCTTCGTTCCCAGGGGTGTTCTTCTTCCACACCACAGCCTCGGGTTGCCGGGGTCTGGCTGGGTGCTCTGTGTGCTTTTATGTCCCTCCCTGGTGGCTGAGAGGGCGCTGTGTGAAATGGAATAACTCCTGCCTTATCAGTAAACAAGGATGTCACAGCCATCAGCGATTTTGGGCCTCCAAATATAATGTCAAATGGAATATTTCCTGCTGTAGTAAACAGGGATGTCACAACCTAGCTATTTTTCCTTAACTGACAATAACCTTTTGATGTTCAGACTACTTGCCCCTTGCTACAAAACTCCTCTATAACCTGATTCCTCCCCCTACCTCTTTGGAATAGTTATCTCAGGATCACTTGAGATGCTGTCTCTTGGACTCCAAGTCCTAGGTTGTTGTTGTATTGTTGCTCATTTGTGTCCAACGCTTTGCAACCCCATGGACTGCAGCATGCCAGGCTTCCCTGTCCTTCACTATCTCCCAGAGTTTGCTCAAACTCATGTCCCTTGAGTCAGTGATACCATCCAACCATCTTATCCTCTGCCGTCCCCTTCTCCTCTTGCCCTTAATCTTTCCCAGCATCAGGGTCTTTTCCAGTGAGTCGGCGCTTCACATCAGGTGGCCAAAGGATTGGTGCTTCAGCTTCAGCATCAGTCCTTTCAATGAATATTCAGGGTTGATTTCCTTTAGGATTGACTGGTTTGATCTCCAAGCAGTCCAAGGACTAGGAATTCCCACCAAACAAAAGATAACTCTCAGTTTCTAGGTTGTGACATTTTTTAGTGGACAACTGCCATGCAGCTCTGGGCTGCCAGTGCTTCCCCGGCAGGTCTGCTGAGCCCTGCTGCATGGGAGAGAGCCCAGGCCTGCCCAGAAGGTTCTCTCACCCCATTTCCAGAAGCTTCTGTGGGCCCCACTCCAGCCCCTTCTCTTGTCCTCACATCTTCCCCACCCCCACCCCCACCGCTGAGACTGGTGATGCCTGGGTTTCCCCATTAGGTTTCTCGAAAGCAGAAGTCACATTCCCACCCTCTCTCCTGCCCTCCTGCCCCTGCCCGCAGCAAGTGCGGCTTTGCCCGGCCAGTCGGGTGTCTCACCTCACAGCCTCTCACGGTCCTGGTCTCCCCCTTTGCATTTCCAGCACTGTCTCCAAGCAGAGAAAAAACGTCATCAGCTGTGTCACGGTCCACGACTCTCCCTACTCCGACTCCTCTAGCAACACCAGCCCCTACTCCGTGCAGCACCGCGCCGGGCACAACGCCACCACCTTCGACACCAAGGGGAGCCTGGAGCCGCACTGCACGGGGAACCCCCGGACCATCATCGTGCCCCCCCTGAAAACCCAGGCCAGCGAGGTGCTGGTGGAGTGTGACAGCCTGGGGCCAGGTAATTCGGGGCGGAGCTGCCAGGAGCATCTCTCTGGAGGCTGGTTTTCTGCTTCCTGCAGCTCACAATCTTGTTACAGGAGCACTTAACAAGCCCTGGGTGTGGGGAGTGGGTGTTTAGTAGATCTTCACCAAGGATCCTGCTTGAGAAGATTCCTTGTTGTCAGCCCAGGCGGCCAGAGAGGACCTCATATCTGTCACAAAAACTCCTCCCTGTGATGACGGCCACCTCATTTCTAAAGTATATCTCATGGACAGATGGATGGATGGACAGATGGGTGGATGGATGGATGGATGGATGGGTGGGGAGTTTGCAAAGAGTTTGTCGCCTGAGTGGAAACAAGCCTGGTCAGCCCTCAGTGTTTCCTACTGAGGGTGGCTTTCTTTGCTCTCAAGAGACCGTCCTCAGGAACCACATGTTCTGGAATTATTCCATTTGGGCACCCCTTAGGTTTCTCACACCTGGTGGCAGTGCAAACATTGAGGAGAGTGAGAAGGGAGCCTTTCTTTTGTAAGAGGGGTGAATGAGAGAGAGAAGGCGGGTAAGGGAACCAGTGGGTCCTAGGGCCAGCGCACCCATTTAGGAAAAGACACATCTGAAAGTTGAGAATCTGGGCATTGACTCCTCAAACCTTTCCTGTCCTTGAACCCTTAAGTCCTCAGGTTGCCTGCATGTAGCCCATTTATAAAGATTACAGCCTTAAATGCACACATCTTGGTGTGAGGGGCTCTCCTGCTTAATTAACAGTGACAGTGTCAAGACTATGTTATTGAAAACCTTAAGACCAGCAAGAAGAGAAGGACATATTCTTTTCCATCTGTAATCCAAAATCCAGAAAGCTCTGAAAATCAGATTTTAAGTTCACAGCAAATTCAGCTGGTAAAACCAAACAAACCTAAACTAACCAGAGGCAGTTTGCAAGTCCCTTTGTCATATTCCTACTTGTGTCATAGTCATATCTGTGCCACTTAGTGAAATGTCCCCGTATTTTATAACAGAAATATTCACTTCTTTTTATTATGTGGTTAGTGCCCAAGGCTTCTTTGGGGGTAATCTAAAATGTTGAATATGTATCAAATTCCCTTCTAAACTCTGAAAGTCTTGATTTCAAAAGGTCTGACCCCAGGGATTTCTGATCAGAGATTGTCAATCTACAGAATGAGATGATGAGTGTTGTAAATTGAGGATACCCGTGTTGCAGGACCTCTCAGAGGAGCTCCGTAGCAGTAACGGCCCCTTTACAATTCAGGACAGTGGTCTGTAAGAATTGGCTCAGAACATACCTTACCCAGGTCCTCTGGGAATTCATAAAGGCAGGGGTTGCTTGGGTGGGGGCGGGGGGGGGGGGTGGTCAAGTAACTGATGCTGAAATTCCCTTGGCCTTTTAAACACAGAGGAGGATGCATGAGAGAGTGGCCACATCATCACAGGTTAGGCATCGTCCAGCTCAGAGCTTTGTTGGTCTTGGTCCTGGCAAAATTGGGAGTTATTGAAACTTTAAGATGAGGTGGTCCAACCCCTAGTTGAGACAGGTGAGGAAACCAAAAGCCAGCTTTGCCCCGCCTAACACAGCAGTTTTCTGTCAGGACCCAGAACAACAGTGAGGTGGACAGAGGCAGCTTTGTGGAGCCCACGGGTCACCCTTTTCACATTCCGTTGCCCGTTTCCACCATCATCTATTGTGCTGTGGGCCACCCATGGCAGTTTTGAGGACTCACCCCACTACATTTCCACAAAGATTGTTAGAGCTGAAGGAATGAGAATCTCTCAGCGATACACTGGACCAAAAAAAAAAAAAGGAAGTTATTCTCAGAATTCTCAGAAAGGCTGCTGGTTCTAAAGCACCTCATGCTGCTGTCTCTGGGGTAGCCTGCGGTGTGATTTCCTGATGTAAAGAGAGGTGTATGTTCCCCTGTGAGGACCTGCCTTCCTAGGAACAGCAGAAGGCAGGAAGGAGCTTCATTTTGGTCCCTGTCGGCCCACCAGCCTGTGGTGTCTCTCAGCACTGACACCCACTGTTAGCGGCACAACCCTCCTAGCTCAGCTCAGAAGAATCAGGAGAGCAGCCTTCCTCGGGCTCCTGGGGCCCATTTGGCCCCTTTATGGCCAGAGTGTGAACCGGCCACCTTTGTGGGGATCCCAGGGTTCCCTGAGCCCTCTCAGGTCAAGACAGAGGCTGTGCAGTCCATTTTCTTTCTCTTTTTTTGGTTCATCTTCTCTCAGTGCTCACCCCCTCTGTGGGTCCCAGTTCAGAAAGGCTCCCTGAAAATGTCTCACGTAGCCTCCTCAGGTCTCAGGGTAGTTAAGGTTCTTCTGGAAGGCAACAGAATGAACTCTGCACTGTCATAAGGAAAATGCAGGACTGAGGGAAAGGTCAACCACTAAGTCCCGGATGGGACAGAACTCCTTGATCTGAGCCACTGGAGGGCCAATGCCTGCCTTCTGGGCACTGTGTCTTCCTGACCCAGTGACCCCCCCAGGCTCCCAGTTTCCCTGTCCCAGAAGACAGGACTTGATGGTCCCAAGTTGGAGCATACATATGTTCCTTGAGCGTCAGCCTTAGCCAAGGAACAGGGCTCAGTAATAAAGACATCAACCATAGCTAACACTGTTAAGAGCTGAATACGTGCCACATACTAAGCATTCTATGTCCTTTAACTCAGGTAATCCTCACAATGACCCTAACGTAGTTTCCATTACTTTCCCAGTTTTCCACATGGGAAAATAGAGGTTAACTCCACTGTGGCCATGTGGCTGGCCCTCCAGGGCTCACCCGGGATCTGAAGCACTGCCACCCGCCTTGTGCAGACAGGGCCACCAGGGGCCACCCATGAACCCAGGCCCATTCCCAAGCAGCAGATCTTTGAGAGCAGCTAGGAAAGATGGAGGGCAAGAGGAGAAGGGGACAACAGAGATGGGGTGGTTGGATGGCATCTCTGACTCAATGGGCATGAGTTTGAGCAAACTCCAGGAGATGGTGAAGGACAGGGAAGTCTGGTGTGCTGCAGTCCACAGGGTTGCAAAGAGTCGGACACGACTTTAGGGACTGAACAACAAGGCTTGGATAGAGATCTCTGTACATCCTTCCAGCTCCAAAATAGGTCCCAAGAACTTGACCTTCAGCACTTGCCTTCTCCACTCTGAGGTCACTTTATTCCTCTCCGCAGGAGGAAATTCCTATTTTAATCTCTTGGCCCCTTTCAAGACCCTCTTCCCTGATTCTGGGGTCCCCTGCTCTGGTGACTTGACAAGCTCTGACCCAGCCCCCCACCCCTGTCCCTGCGATGATGGTGGCCTGGCTCTGTCACATCCATTTCATCTGAAGCTCTCTAATTTCTTCACTTACAGGCTCAAGCTATGGGTCCCTTGCATCTAAGAGTTTCTCCCTCAAGTATAATCACCACAAAGTGCCCAGAGCATTGACACAGGAGCAGAGAGGTGCCGTCCACCGCTGGGCCGGGGCAGCCTGCACATCTGGTGATCTGCAGGGCAGGGCGGGGCTGAACGGCACAGCAGCCCCGTGGCCGAGTGACGGAGACTGAAGTTGTCCTGATAGCCAACATCTGCAGCTTTCCGTCCTTCACCCTACAATGGGTCCCCTGAACCCTTCCCTCAACCCCACCCCCAGGTTTTGGGGGACCTTTGAGAGTCTAACCAGGTTTGGCCTGAGCACAGACCCTGACTCCATGACACAGGTCAGCTGTATCCACCAGGGCCAGGCTGGCTCCTGCTCTCTTGGAAGCTCGTGAAGAATACAAATTCCTGGGCATCTTGCACTTCCGTGGATAGGATGGGAGGGCCACTGGGCACCAATGCACAGTTGAATTTGGGGTCTCTGCTAGGACCTGCCCCTTCCCAGCAAGGCAGCTCTCCTTTTACTGGGGTGGGGGTGGGGGGGGACGGCTGTTGCCTCCGGTAGGAGGCTCCTCTCACCCTCAGGGTGCTCCCCAGTCTCCTGCTCCCGGGTTCCCGATTTGCCTTCATGCTCCAGCTTTGTCTCTATCAACAGTTAATAAGCATTCTCTCTTGCCGGCCCCAGCCTCAGGCATCTCATCATCATGACTTTGACCTCATCACCCTGGGATTTGTAATAGAATTGATCCAACCCAGTTATGTCAAGTATGCTTCATTAATTGTTAGCACCCCTACCCCCTAGAACAGCCAGAGGGTGCAGAGTGTGCTCAGTCACTCAGTTGTATCCGGCTCTTTGCGACCCTATGGACTGCAGCAAGCCAGGATTCTCTGTCCATGGGATTCTCCAGGCAAGAGTGGGTTCCCATGCCCTCCTCTAGGGGATCTTCCAGACCCAGGAATCAAATCCGCAACCTTTGGGTCTCCTGCATTCACACATGGATTCTTTACCACTAGCGCCACCTGGGAATGACCAGATGTGCTCTTTTTACACTCACAGTCCTGGGGTGCCTGATTGAGACCGCATTAGGCTTTTGTGTTTCCCAAAGATGCTCATCTCCAATAAATCTTCCGAATTCTCACAGCTGACAGCACGAGAAACAGCCCTGCCTTCTGAGGTCCTGGGTTCGTCTCGCCACTTCTCCTTTTTCTGGGGTCTTTTCTTGAAGTCCCTACTCTGGGAGGCTCCCTGAAACATGGATGGTTTTAGAGTCGGGGAGTCTGCAGAGGACACTGCAGATTTTGGCAAGTGTCTGGACTCCCTGTGCTAAAGGCCTGTTGGCATTCACTGTGGATCACTTCCTCTTGATCTAGACAAAGCTTCAGGACAGGAATACCTGATGTCAGGAGAGACACTGAGAGGTAGGCAAGCGGTCACACTCAATTCCGTATGTCCCGTGTCCTTGCATGCGGTCCTCTGACTTTGACCCCTGGAGACACACGTCCCACTCTGCTGGGAATTGCTGTTCACAGGTCACTCAGCACCAACAATGACTGAAATGGTTTCTTTAATATAAACTGCCTCCCCCTTTTCATTTTCTTCTGGTTGTTCCCCCGACCCCTGGATATATTGTTGTTGTTCAGTTGCTAAGTCATGTCCGACTCTTCATGACTCCAAGGACTGCAGCCCTCCAGGCTTCCTTGTCCTTCACTATCTCCTGGAGTTGCTCAAACTCATGCCCACTGAGTCAGTGATGCCATCCAACAATCTCATCTTCTGTTGCCCGCTTCTCCTTTTTCCCTCAATCGTTCCCGCATCAGAGTCTTTTCCAGTGAGTTGGCTATTCACATAAGGTGACCAAAGTATTGGAGCTTCAGCATCAGTCCTTCCAGTGAATATTCAGGGTTGATTTCCTTTAAGATTGACTGGCTTGGTCTCCTTGCTATCTGAGAAACCACAGTCCCTTTGCTGAGACTCAGTTTGGGTGGTGGTTTGGAGCCTATTACATTAATTTTTTTTCAGTTGTGGCAGTCAGTTCATTCGCTAAGTCGTGTCCGACTCTTTGTGACCCTATGAACCACAGCACGCCAAAGCCTCCCTGTCCATCACCAACTCCCGGAGTTTACCCAAACTCATGTCCATTGAGTTGGTGATGCCATCCAACCATCTCATCCTCTGTTGTCCCCTTCTCCTCCTGCCCTCAATCTTTCCCAGCATCAGGGTCTTTTCAAAGGAGTCAGCTCTTCACATCAGGTGGCCAAAGGATTGGAGTTTCAGCTTCAGCATCAGTCCTTCCAATGAACACCCAGGACTGATCTCCTTTAGGATGGACTGATTGGATCTCCTTGCAGTCCAAGGGACTCTCAAAAATCCAACACCACAGTTAAAAAGCATCAATTCTTCTGCACTCAGCTTTCTTTCTAGTCCAACTCTCACATCCATACACGACCACTGGAAAAACCATAGCCTTGACTAGATGGACCTTTGTTGACAAAGTAACGTCTCTGCTTTTTAATATGCTGTCTAAGTTGGTCATAACTTTCCTTCCAAGGAGTAAGTGTCTTTTAATTTCATGGCTGCAGTCACCACCTGCAGTGATTTTGGAGCTCAGTGTCACCAGATGGTAATTCTAAAGTCCATCAGGGTTTGCTCCCAACCAGTGGAACAAGCTCCAGCCCAGGTGTCATTCCAGAGTCAACATCATCACTGGGTCTGGGGGCAGTGCGGCTGATGGGGGATCGTCCAGTCAACGGGACTGTGTCCTCAAAAGACTGCTGTTGTCCCCCTAGGGCAGGGTCTTCTGAGCAGCCAAGGACCTGTGACTGACCTGTGCCCTTTTTCTCTTCACGACACAGTCAACACCAGTCACCATTCGTCCTCCTTCAAGTCCAAGTCCTCCAGCAACGTGACCTCCACCAGCGGTCACTCTTCAGGGAGCTCGTCTGGAGCGATTGCCTACCGGCAGCAGCGGCCAGGACCACACTTCCAGCAGCAGCAGCCTCTCAATCTCAGCCAGGTAAGCACACATACCCCCACCATTCCCCCCCACCTGCCCCCCTCCTCCCACCAGCTCATCAGGTGCCCTGGGGTAGCAAGAAGTGCCCTGGTGAGCTCTGGTGTTCTCCTGCTGCTGCGGGTCACCTTGGGGAAGGTGGATCCTCAATTCATGGAAAGCCAATCCAACGCGAAATGACTTGTCTAATGTTCGGAAGCACTTAGTGACGCGGTACCTGCTTAAAAATAGTCTGGCCCACAGGTTGCCGTTTCAGCCCAGCAAAGGGTAAAACACTGCGTCCGGGCCCACTTCGGGCCAGAACCCCAGAGACAGACCTGCAGTCCAACCAGGCCAGGCCTCCTGGAGTCATTACAGTGAAGGAGGCCTCACACAGGAACCCCAAATCCAGGAAAAGAGCTGGGGGACCTGGGAGACGGTGGGTGATGCTCAGGGGAGTATCAGCCAGGCGGTGTCTCCACAGGCAGCACTCGGCCTGTGTGTCTAGGACCACTGGGGTCTGAATTGCAAAGTGGACTCCAGCCCTGCTTCCTTAGCAGCCGGGAGGTAAGATAAGGCCACGTGTGTGTTGTGACTTAGCTTCTTCGGCTGAGAGAAGGTGGCTTCATTTGTATGTGACTTCAGAAGACGGCGACGTTTCTGAGAGCCTGCTGTTTAGGGAGCAGGACTTCACGATGAAGCAGAAAAGTGGTCCGCACTCAGAGACGGGCCCGTGTGACACTTCACAGCTGCAGGATGGCCCCGGCAGACGCGCTGTCTCCTGCTGCCTCTGCACCTGGTTCTGTCGCTGTGTCACCCGGCCCAGGAAACAGCGGGGCACCGCCTTGCTTCTTGGACAGGCTGACATATTTTTCCCAGCACGTGAAGGAGGCGTTTTCTGCGATCCCTGCCCTCCTCCTGACTCTGCTCCCCAGTCCTCACTTCTGCCTTCTCCCCAGTCCCGCCTCCTCTTCCTCACTCTCTGCCTGCTCCCCACGCCCCCGCCAGGCCCCATGCACTTCTGCGCATGCGTATGTCCAGCCCCCGCAACGCGGCCCTCCTGGTTCTTCTTCTCCAGGCTCAACAGCACATCGCCGCAGACCGCACCGGGAACCACCGACGGCAGCAGGCCTACATCACTCCCACGATGGCCCAGGCTCCATACTCCTTCCCGCACAACAGCCCCAGCCACGGCACTGTGCACCCCCACCTGGCCGCAGCTGCCGCCGCCGCCCACCTCCCCGCCCAGCCCCACCTCTACACCTACACGGCGCCCGCGGCCCTGGGCTCCACGGGCACCGTGGCCCACCTGGTGGCCTCCCAAGGCTCGGCGCGTCACACCGTGCAGCACACTGCCTACCCGGCCAGCATCGTCCACCAGGTCCCCGTGAGCATGGGTCCCCGGGTCCTGCCCTCACCCACCATCCACCCGAGTCAGTATCCAGCCCAGTTTGCCCACCAGACCTACATCAGCGCCTCTCCAGCCTCCACAGTCTACACTGGATACCCACTGAGCCCGGCCAAGGTCAACCAGTACCCTTACATATAAACACTGGAAGGGGAGGGGACGGGAGGGAGGATGGCCAGAGGGAGAGGAGGAGGGATGGAGAGGGGAGCTGGGGCTTTTGTACTGAAGATGCCGCACAGAAACAATGCAAACGGGCAGGGGTGGGGGGCAGGGGGCAGGGACGGGACACAGATGAAACTTGAACTAGGAAGTAGGAGGACTGAGAGCGGAGGAGAGAACATTTTGAAAAGGAAGGGATTTAAGGAAGGGGGAAAATCTATGCTTTTTATTTTAAAAAAGAAAAAGGAAAAAAAAATAAAAATAAAACATCAGTAACAAAACAACCACAGCTCACGAACCCGTTCTGCACCAAACTGGAAAGAAGGAGAAGAAGAGCAGCCACGGAAGATTCCCGAAGTAGGGGGAGGGGGGCCTCCGTTTTTTAAGAACTTTATGAACTTTTCAAAAGTTATTTTCCTATGGCAGCAAGTGACGTTTAAGAATTTGCTGTCAAGGACACCTGCTATGGAAATCCAATAGATTTTTAATAATTGAACGTAGGATTAGGGATTTTTCCAGAACTCTAAAGGGTCAACAGCCCTCTAGAAAGCTCAGGCCGTGGCCTGAGGAGGCTAGTGCCTGGGGGTTGGGCCAGGGTTGGGGAGCCTGGTTCTGGCCCACTTGCCGGGACCGATGGGAAGGGCGGGCGGCTGGGTTGAAGGAGGACCCTGGGAGAGGGTGTAAATTTTTATCTTAATAACCTGTTGTCTTTCCCCGGGCTGTTTGCTAGCAGAAGAGTGTCAGGGAACTGGCAGGGGCTAGGAGAGCCAGTGGGTGTGGAGGGGGCTGCGGGAGGTGGATGGTGGTGGGTGAGGCTGACGCTGGAGATGGCTCGGCATGGCTTTTCCCTGGTGGACAAAGCAAGAGAAACTGACTCCCCACCCTGCACCCTCACCCAGTTCTTCCCCCAGCGGGCTAGCTCTGCCGTCTGTGGGACAGCAGGTCCCATCTCAGTTTCAGGAATGTTGGTCTTGCTCCTGACGCAAGGAGCAAAGGAGAGGAGCGGCCTGCGGCCTCCAGGCCAGGCACTGGCTTCAGGTCAGTCGCCCGCCGTCTGCAGGGCGGAGAGCAGGCCTGGTCGCCCCATGTTCTCAGACCCGCCCCACACTCCGCCAGCCCTGCCCATCTCGCCTCTGCTTCCACCCTCTCACCCCACCAGGCTGTGTTTTGCTCTCAACCATTTTGCCAGATTCCTTTCTCTGTAGACAACCGCCAACCGTCATTTGCTGCTAAATCTTTCCTCACGTTACCCAGGCGTACCCCAGGCATGCCTTCGTTTCTGGTCTTTGAGGGTTCTGGTGGGCAGAAGGCTGGAGGGACATTCAGGAGGGTGAGCCAGTGATCTTGAACCGCCCTTGGGAAAACACGCCCATGGGCAGTCAAGTTTCCTAGGAAGTTTGCCGTTTGCCTTCTGTGCATCGTTGATAACGTTCTGGAAATTTCCTCTGGCTTTGAACACTGGTGGGGGTGGGGGTGGAGAGGTCTCTCTTATCCATAGCAGATTACTGTTACACACGAAAACGTTGGGAGGTGCTGTCTGGTCCCAGACGGGATTTTTAACTGTGGTCCTCATTGTTTGACGCTTGATGCGGAGCCCCTGACCCCAAAGCCAAGTTTCCAAGGTGCAGAAGGATCGCTCCCAGTTTCGGACAGCAGTCCGCACCCACCCTCCCTCACTTTCCTTCCCCATCCTGCGGTCTCCCTTAACGATCTACTGTGAAAGGTGTTTTTAATCTTGATATCTGACCTAATTCAGTAACGAAGCCCAGCCCTTACCTTAGCTCTTAGCTGTGAAATGTGAAATAACTCTGGACATATCCCCTCTCCAGGCATCAATTCTACTTATCCTACAAAGAAATTGGTCCCCAGGTTGGAACCAGCTTAGTCCCGGCCTCAGCCCGGAAGGGAGGAAGGACCCCGTGTCCACCGGGGAGTCGCCTGCGGAAGGACACGATGGTGTCCTGCTGGCGCCACACTCAATGCGTCTTTTATCTGGACGTGGGGCAGTGCCGCCATTCTGAGACAACCGGAAAGTGGTCCATGAGGGTGGGGGCGGGGAATGTGCTGGAGGACACGTGAGCCCGAGCACTCACGGAGCCACGCCTGCCTGCAAACCCATCCCTGTTCTGGCCTTGCGGCGTCCGGAGGGCAGCAATGCCCCGTCCGAGCCTCCCCGTGCCCAGTCGCACAAGTAATGGCTGCAAACGAGCCAGCGTTTTTGCCTTATTGGGTAGCATACTGGACCCCTGGTACTGTTCTCTTCCAGCGCTTTTTAGATCTGATCTTTTAACAGGAAAAGACAACATAGCCTTCCACTTTAATGAAAATTATTTTGTGTACTTAAGTTGGAAGTTACTCTTTCACCTGACATTTTCTTTCCTTCCTGATCAGGAAATGAAAGTTTCATGCTGCTCATAAAGATAATATTATTGTACTAATTATTTTGGTTATTAACCTTTGTAATTATTATCCTAATCATCATTTTGATATTTTAGTTGGGGTTTTAAAGTGCACATTTATTCCAAGTATCTTTGTGTTTTCTCTTTAATATTTAAATTTATTTTATTATATCTGTGAGTATCTGAGTAGACAGGAGGGACATCCAGATGTCCAGTTTTGTCAGACCAAAAAGAAAAGAAGGAAGGATTCAGGAGTCAGGAAAAAGCTGTCAAGAATGATCCACCAGAGAACAAGAGTCTGAAGAAGAATCAAAGCCTTTATCTCTCTGTAAGCCAACTTCGGCTCTGGACAGCATGGTCCGTGGTCACCATCAAGACTGGATTTTTCTAGACTCTCAGTGGCCTGGGAGGAGATCTGAGGAGGCATCTTGGAGGCTGAACCCTCAGCATGGTCCTCTCTGACCTTCCCTGCACTTCTGAAATCTGCTAAATAGACCCTGGCCCTGCCTCACATCTGATACTGACCTGTCAAGCAAAAAAAAAAAAGCCCCTCTGCCCAGAGCTGATCCAGCCCCCTCCCTAAAAGTCCCCCCTTTTCCCATCAGCCCACCAGAAGTGTGACTTATACCCTTCAGTGTGTAGATAATGTTGCCTCCTAGAAGCCACTGGAGGTAACAAGCTGGTGGAAGGTGCATAGGCAGGTGGTGCCTTCCCCTGGGAGATGTCAGCCTCCCTGCCCCTCACAAACCGCACTGCTTGCTTCTTTGGTCCCTGCCCCCACCCAGTACATCTCAGCACACAATTCTAGGGACAAACTGTGGAGCAGAAAAAATAATAATAAATAAAAGAGGGATAATAGGCGGCCAAAGGAGCACTGACCGTGTCCGGCAGGTCCTCAGACAATGCAGGCTGCTGCCCCCCTAAACTCATTGGCCAGTGGAGGGACACAGTGGGGCCTTACAGCCATGCCCACTGGGCTCCGACTGTGCCCTTCAGTCCACCGTGCTGGGTGCCATGGGCTTTTAAAGTCAGCTTGAGGTGCCCACACGCTGCCCACCGAACCCAGAAACTACCAGGCCCCACGTGGGTGAAGGAAGGCCTGGAATGACGGGCTTCACTGAAGCTAATGAAGGGAGACGCCAGGCCGTGCCCAGCCCCCAACGACTCAGCGAACATTAGTATCCTCCCCGCATCCCCATCTGCCTTTTTCTTCCAACCTAAGCACAAAGCTGTGGCTCTGAAGCCCTCGGAGAAGACCCTAGTGGGAGAGGCAAGCCCCTCCGTGGGTTCCCTTAGCAGCTGCTTGAGCTCCCACCCCACCCCCACCCTCCAACCCTGAGTTGCCCTGACGGGTAGGCTGAATAAAGGCTGCCCATCCCCAGGACCCAGCTCTCAAGTGAAGAGATGCCAACCTAGTCTTCATGTAGACCACAAATAACATAGAACATCATCTGCCCTGGAATTGGCTCCATCCTCCTTTACTGAAGCAACGTGGTTACGGCTCAGAGGGGCAGACTGAAAAAGACAGGTCGAGGGGAGCCTCGTAACCGGAGCCCTGGGAACCACAGGCCCATTTGCTTCTGCTCGGCAGGGCCGCGCGGACCCCTCTGGGTGTTTGCACCGCTGTCTCCGTTTAGTGCCTCCTTTCAGGATGTTTTGGCTGTTTCCAAGGGAAGGGTGAGCAGGCCGATGGGTGGGAGAGTCTGAGGCTTGGTGCCAATTAATACTGTGAAGTGGAGCATGTGGTTGGTCGAATTCAGAGGGAAAGGAAGGGTTGGTTGTCTCCTGGACTGTCTTTGCATTCTGGCCTTAATGGTGGTAAGTGGCTGGCGGGCTGCAGGAGCCAGAAGACTCAACCCGCCCAGACACCAGACTGTGGGATGTAAGGAAGGCAAGGAAAGATCAGCCCAGCTGCTAACAGGCAGATTTCCCTCGACCGGATCTCCGGAATTGCAGACACTCATTTTTGAACAAGCTCGTGGTGGAGGATTTGGGTTGTGTGAGTGTGTGTGAGTGAGTGGAGCAGACTTTCTTGGAAACTGGAGGAAGGAGATGAGGAGGCTTAAGGAACTATTGCTGATGGGCTGTGGTTGATGAAATGTGGTGGGTTGACGGGTCGGCCCCAGCTTTCATCCCGGGTTCTCTGGTGCTGGGGGCGGGGTGGGATGTGGGGCTCTCCATGGCCTGTTAAGTAGCTGCGGGGACAGAGAACAGAAGAGAAAAACAAGGTGCCCTCCAGCAGCAGAGAGGCCAGGGCTCCTTCTGCGGGTCGCAGAACTCGCCTGGCGCTGCTCAACACCAGCCCAAGCCATTCTGCCATGAAATATTCCAGCCCCGGGGACCCCAGTTGCTTCTTGCCCCTTCTCTGTGTTTTCTTTCTGGTGTGTCTTAGAGATTTCAGATGGGGAAGCCTCAGAGTTGAGCAAGCCAGAGCTGTCCTAACCAAATTGGAAAGGAAGGTGAAAGTGTCCTTTCTTTAGCCAAAGACCCTCTCCTCAAAGACACCCCCAGATGTGGACAGAATGGCATTCCTCTCTCCTTCCTCTCCCGGCAATAATGACTCTGTCAGTGATGCGATCCCGTTTATGTCCTCTTGCTTTCTGTTGCCTGACTTGTTTCGGGTTTTTTGTTTTTGCCTTTATTTTAAAACTGTGCTCATCTTGTAAGTGGAGAGGAGGTTTGTAACCCCCAAATGCTGCTGCTGTCAGGAAACTGGAGGTACCGCATGGATCTGTGGGTGGAACTCACCCCGAGTTACCTCGGGTATCGGCTGGAGCAGACCAGCCAGGAGGTGCGGCTCTATCGGGGTCAGGTACACGCCAGGGCCAGGCTCAGAGGGTCAGTATTTTCCCACTTCGATGCCTTAGGACTCTCACTTCTGAGTT